GCAAATGTCTTAATTACATTTCTGTTTATGCTTTTTGTAGGTGAAGTTAAATGTTTCAAGTTCATCACTGTGCCTGGATGAAAACAGTGTTTCCACTTGGAAGTGTTAAACCTGTAATTTCATAAACCTTTCATTTTGGAAGCTGGTGGCAACAAGCTAGCAGGAAATATGGGACTTAGGAAAAGCAAACACGTTCTATTTGCTGATGGTCACTAAGCATTTGTAACCAAGGCAAGCTCATCACAGAACAGAACAGTTAGCTGAAGAGTGAAGGCAGAGCATTTATATGTTTTCCTTGCCTACTATAATCAGTAGTTATCAGAGATCAACTATTAGCTGCTTCATAAGAGAGAGCTTTGTTTATACTATGTAATTTTTGTTGGTGAGACTACCTGCTGGCCTGAGATCTTATGACTTATTAACTTGTTATTGTCTGTGAGTAGGAGAAGGTGCTTGCATTTCAGAAGTTTGTGTAAATTATGCGTCCTCCTTATTTCCTGCTGGGACACAGGTATTTACTCTTCGAATAATGGTAGTTCTCAGTAAAGCCAAGAGTTTCAGAACAGCCCTTCACCTCAGAAACCCAATTAGCCAATTTATCAACAGAATTTTTGACATGATCAAAACTTTGGAAACCAAGGGGTTTTACAAACAGAATATAATATACTCGTTTCTGATTTCCAAAGGAAAATATCCAACAGTTCTTGTAATTCCAAATGCCTTGAGCAATGGTACAAAGTTGACACTGATTATGGAACCCATGAAAAAGACACAAAATTCAGGGACCTTGGGGTTCCAGTAGAGTTTTTCCTAATTAAATATACATATGTTAGGGCAGGTATGATGTACATGCGTAAAGAAGAATAATCAAAGAACACACCCTGTTTCTCCCACATTTAAGGGGACTATTACCTATCGCACTGATGCCCCTCTGAGCTACATGTCACCCCCATTTCCTTCAATTAACAGTGGAGCCACAACACTGAATTTCCTGTCAATCATTTCCTTGCCTTTCTCTATAGCCTTACTACATATGTATGAAGAGAGTTTAACATTTTGGGGGATTTTATATAAATAAAATTATCCTCTGTGTATTCTTCTAGGAATCGTTCTTTTTGTGCAACATGTTTATGAAATGCATTCATGTTGCCATGTATGGGTCCAGGTCATTTGTTTTCACAGCTTTCTTCTGCTGATAAATATTAGTGTTTTTCAAGGTTTTTTAAAAAAATGAAAAATGCTTCTATGAGAATTCTTATATATGCCTCCTGCTGCTTCTTTTATTGCTGACATTTATAGAGCACTTCTTTTGTGTCAGGCCCTCTTCTAAGGACTTTAAATGCATTGATTCATTTAAACCTCCCCTCACCCAATGAGGTAGGTGCAATTATCATCCCCATTTCACAGATGACGAAATCTGGTCCAAAGAGGTGAAGTGGTTTGTCTAAGGGGACAGGCCCAAGAAGCAACAGAGCTGGACTTGGAGTCAAAATTCTTAGCTTCAGAGTCTGTCCTTTCAGTCAGTACCCTAGACTGGTTCTTCTGCTAATCAGTCACTCAAAAAGTCAACCTGAAAAATTCTAAGATCTGTTCTCCTTTGTCCATATATCCTTTTTGTTAGTCACATGCTGCCAAATTCTCTTCAAAGCTCAAAGTCAACAAATTTAATGAAGAGCCAATATCCCATGCCTCCTATTTGGGGGCTTGGATTAAGATTCCCATTGTTTATTTCCCACTCATAGCAAATATTCTGAAGTGTCTGCCCTTCAGATCAGTTTCAGACTGGGGAAGAATGCACTTCATGAGAAGAAAGGATAACATGTCAATGTTCTTAGTGATATGAGGCCTTTAAGAGCAGCAGCTAATTCATGTATCCCACAGGAGTCAGTTCCGGGACAGGCAAACGGGGGGCGGTATTTGTCCCCATCACTGTTAGTTGTCTCAGTGGCCCCTGCGCGTGACAACGTAAACATGAGCCACGTGCCCATCTCCTGAGTTAGTGGGAAGCTTCCCAATACCACCTAATCCAGAGATGATAGATGCAGAGCTCACAAGGAATCTGTTGAGGAAATATGGCAAAAAATACCTCATTTGATTCAAAATTTAGCAAAGTGCCAGAGACAAAGTTTTAGAGAAACACATCAACAACAAGCCTTTCCTGAGGACAGAAGGAGTCTCCTTCAACTGGCACGAACACAGTGTAAGACACCAGCCCTTACCCCTCCCTTGGATATAGTAATGTGCATTTTAACTCGGCATCTTGACTGGCATTCAGACATGAAAACCAACTGAAAAGTTGGTGTAAGACTAAAACTAGCAAAGTATGGAAGAAATCTTGCAGCTGCCACAGACAAAGGCATCTGGAGGAATAGGTGATAAACATGAATGTTTATTCAGGATTTATGGTGAAAGCCAGAGTTGCCTTTAAGCACCTGAGACTGAAGATCCGGAAGACTTTAAGGAATTAAGTACAAGAGAGTCCAATACTTCAAAGGAAAGATAAATGACCGCTTAATAGTCATCCAGCTACTCTGCAGAGGTAGTGATTTTCAGGAAGTAACATTTCAGAGAGGTTCAGTTATTTTTAAAGGAATCACAGCACTTGCTCATAATAGCTCCAACCTTTAGTTGCATTTTCACTAAAACATTTGTAAAGCATTACATTTCAAAGAAAATTCATAATCTGCATTTCAGTAGTTAAAGTTTGAATAAGGTTGGTGCTTCATAAAGTTAATTTAAGTCTAGTCAAAATAAGATTGTTCATTATATATTTTTGAGGGAAAAGAGTTCAATATGATGGCTGTTTTGGGGAAAAATATATACATATCTGCATTGAAAGTGTCTGGAAAATTCTACACCAGGGTTTATCAACTGAGGCACTATTAACAGCTTGGGATGGAGAACACTGAGTTCTGGGGGCTGCCCTGGACGGCTTGAGATGTTCTGCAGTATTCCTGGCCTCTGCCCACTAGACATCAGCTGCACCTTCCGCCCGAAGTGGTGATAATCAAAAATGTCTCTGGACATTGTCCCAGTTGAGAATCATTTCGCTATGTTAATATGTTTACAGTGGTTAAGAATGGGTAGGAGTATTATGGGTAATTCCTATTTTTCCCTCCTTTATTTCTAGTTAATCTACAATGAAAATGTATACATTTATCTTCTACAGTAAAAAATAAAAGCTGCTATTAAAATACCCACAACCATGGCACTATTTATTAAAAAATTAACGGCATATCTCTTCTGGCAAAGTCTTTGAGAAGAACTATAGACAGATTTATGCAAGTTATAATGTGGGAAACCACAAAGGAAATAGGGAAAATCCTTCTCCCAAGATAAGTTAGCAAAAGTTCATCTCAAGACGTGGTAGTGTGTGGGCGAGAAGGAATCTGATTTATGGCCCAGGTGCACGGATCTGTGCTGATGGAGCCCTCTATTTGATGTTCTCATTAGATTTACCACGCTGGACAGACCTGCGCTCTGAGTTGTACAGTTTTCCTCTGAACTGATTTCCTTTGGGTTGAGCTCCGCCTGGGGGCACCAGATCTTTCCCATGTTGTAGGCTGAGGGGACAAGCATCCCTCTTCACTTCCTTCCTTCCTATGGTCACTGTGACCCTGGGCTCCACCCACCTCATGGATGGATTTTTGTGGGGGGATTTTTGTTCACCCAGTTATTTAGAATTTATGGGGTGTGGAAATAGGGCCACTAGCAGACATTGGAAAACTCAATGTGGAAGAAGTTTGTCAAATCCCAGAACTGACAGCCAGCCAGGTAGAGGATGAGGGGTGCTGGTCAGCCACGCTGAAACCTCAGCCTCCCACCTCCACCTGGACTCAGGCCTGCGGAGGGAATTGGATGGCTTCCAGAGGATGGTTTCTTGGGGCTGCTGAGGCCCTGGCCACAGAGGTGACAGGATGCACAGGGCTGCCACCCACACAGATAACACATTTAAGCATGGGTTACCTTCCCCCACAAGAAATACTTATTGTATGCTCATTTGAATATAGGTGCTTGCATGTTGCAAAGTACTGAAGTAACAGAATTATTTAAATGCTTAGTACTTCTGACATGCTTAGTATGACATGAGATGTAAAAGCAACTCAAAATTAGATTCTCTTTTGCAAAACCACTGACAGACTTCAACAGGAAGGCATAAATTAGGAAGCAAATGACTATTGTACTTCTAGATAAGAAAAACAATGGTTGGCAAACTCTGCCTTTGGATCAAAATAGTCAGACGTCTAAATGGCTTCTCTTCCCTGTGCTCAGCAGAGGCTCTGGCAGCTAATCACGATGGTAACAAACCCTTAACACAGCACTCACTGTGTCTCAGGCAGCATTCTAAGTGCCTTCTATATTCTAACTCCTTGCGTCATCAAACAACCATAAGGGAATTGTTATCCCTATTTTATAGAATGAGAGCACTGGACTATTGTATAGACACAACAGGTGCTCAGTATATATTTTGTGAATGAAAGAATAAGCCAAACAGCAACCCATTACTTTATTTTTCTTTTTGCTCTGAATAACGACTCATTCTTCCCCACTCTTGAACTTCTTTTACAGTATTACAGATTTGTTCTTCAAAACTGGCAGAACCACTTTGACAAAGATTGAGAAGAACAGAACACTCTGGTTAATATAATTATGTTCTAAATTAAACCATTAGATCAGAAACTGTTTGGCTTTGTGGACAAGCTCAGAAGACCATGACTGCAGAGTCCATTTCTCCTACCAGGTTGTCTGCTTGTGCCAAAAATATACAGAGGGAATATGGATGATATCAGTTTTCCTGAGAGAACATCAATGGATTTTGAATTCATGATAAAAACAAATACATATTAAGGTAATATAAAATTGCTGTTTCTGCAGGTAAAAAACAGTCAAATAGCAACAATTTTACACAGTTCAACTTCACAGATTCTGCCTTATTTAAATGCAGTAACTATAGGATTTTATTTTCTAAGCAGTGAAGGAGATGGGAAGAACTACTAGAATTTAAATAGGATGGTATTGTTTTATGGCACACTTTGGTTCTCACAGTAAATTATGTCAATGTTTTAATACACTTTCCCTTACATATTCATTTTAAGATTATGTAGATAGGGGATGTTCATTCATACATATTCCAAGGAGTCTTTGTGGCATTGTCCATTCAAATAAAATATTTAATATTATGGTAGTAACACAGTGCTTCAGCTTCTAAACATGTTCTAGTTTATAGACTATGTACATGTCTTAAAAAAATCCCACACATTTCCAGAAATAAATGTACTATTCCAAATGTGGCATATGCTTTCAGATTGGTTTTCCTACTAAAAAGTTCCTGCTACTCAATTGAAAGGGCATTTTCTGACTTCAAAAGAATAGTAACAATTTATGTTTACACTTCAGAACTTCAGTAAGTATTCATATGGTGACTTAAAGTAGCCAAAAGCATGTGATATCAACATATGTGCCTGCTTTACTTCAAATACAGATTATTGTAATTGAAAAGTGAGTTGCGGCCCTTCAATGTGTCCAACTTTTAAGTATCTCTTCTTTCTGATGATAAGCCAAATTCCAAAAAAGTAGTATTTATAAAATGAAGGGTCTTCATCAGTGTAGCACAGAGAAGACAAGAAGTGACTGTGGCATCTTACTACACTGATGGACAGTGGCTGCAATGGGGTGTGTGGGGGGGACTCAATAATAAGGGTGAATGTAATAACCACATTATTTTTCATGTGAAACCTTCATAAGAGTGTATATCAATGATACATTAATAAAAAAATGAAGGGTCTTCATGAAATATTTTTTACAGGGCTTTATGTCTGGTAAGTGCCCAGAAAATAATGTATAAGTGTGCTTGCTAGAAAACAATAAACAAAGATGCCATAGTACACCCACCTAAATAAATCCTGCATCCAATTTGGCAGAGCATCTTTGAATACTTACTGGGTACCAGGTAATGGGTCAGCCACTAGGCACAGCAGGGGCCCACTAGCATGTGAGAGCCCCACAGCAGGAAGCAGCCACCATGAGAGGCAGGATGAAATAATCCTGTGAGAATGAGGTGGAGAAGGAAGGAATTCCTGCTGACGCAGGAAAATCTGAGCACACTTCTTTTTTCCCAGGCGTGCTCTTGCTGGGTCACTCAGATATTTGCACTCACATGCCTTGTAACAGTGGGGGTCCGGCAAAGGGAAGTTTGGGTGTTAGTCTCCCATTTGTACATATAACCCCCATTCCTCCATAAATTGGGAGAGATAAGTTTCCTTTTCTTCCGGTGGCTTGTCTGGAGCCTGCTCCTTGTAGAGTCTGGACAAAAGCCCCTCCTCTGGGGCCTCTTGGTATTCAGGGCGCTCGTATTTCTCTGAGTCAAGTTCAAAGCTAGATAATGAAGGTATACGCAGCCTGCCAGTCCGAGGGTCCCAGTCGACCAGTGTGGTGGTCGGTGGCTCTTCCATGCCTATGTGCCCCTGTGGCAGGTGGTCCAAGTCTCTGAGCTGAGGGGTGTATGGCTGCGGTAGTGTTTGCGGGCCTGCGTCTGCCAAAGCCGCCTGTTGTTCAAAGGAGTTTCCTTGTAAGGACACTTCTTCTTGCCAAGTGAGCTCTTGGTCTCCGGGCTCCACACAAACGTTAGTAGTTCTTACATCATATTCATATTCAATGACTGCTTTATCCGTGGGTATTGTTCTGCTGAGTGACTCTTGCTGGGCTAGGGAGGTACCTCTGGTCTTTTCCTCAGACTCACAGAAGATGTCCAACAAATGGGAAGCATACCCTAAGTGCATCACCTCTCCTTCCTCCTCAGGGGGCTTCTGGGCCCTGCTGGGCTCATTCAGGTTCGCTGTGTCACTGCTTTTTTCCACAAGACTTAAATCCTTATGAGAAATTTTACAATCCTCCAAAATACTGAGGGTGATAAAGTTAAAGACAATTTTTTCAGCAGGTACAAAGAAACTTTTGTCAAATTCATTTCCATAAATCAAAACCTATAAAGAAAAAAGAGAATGGTTTTCACCTTTTCACTTTAGAGAGACATTAAAAACAGCTGTTAAGTAGAGCTTATACTGTCACCAGAGAGTTTTAAAGACCTATTCTTACTGACTCATGAAAATTAAAGTTATGCTTGGAATGTATGGGAAACCTCATTCACATGGCAGAGACCCAAGACATGCAAAATACATATGAAAGTGACAAGTGGTTTCTCTAAAATCAGGATTTCTGCTGTGTTAGGGGTGGTGAGGTCTAAGAATAAGAGTTTTTGAAATCACTTTGTTGTGTATGGCTTCCTGTGAATTTGTTATTAAGCCATGGTTAGCTGGGCTACCAGCCCTTTTGGGGATACACTGAGGGCATGAAATGTGGATGGGCATGAAAACTGGATGTATAAAGGGAGACAAGCACATAAGTAGAGATGATTTCACTTTGCCCAAACATCATTCTAATCATGCTGTGATAAGTCCCAAAAGGGAAGTTCACCTGCCAGTTGATGGCAGATAGAGAAACTCTAAATCATGTCAGGGAAACTTGTTTGAGATTACAGTTTTGCTGGAAATACACAGAAGGTGCCTGTTTAGTTTGCCAATGATGATTTACGTTGCAATCTTCATCGTCTGTCCAATGATGTGATTTTATTTAATGTTACAAGACAAGACCTTCAGCTTCATTCTTTTACAAAATTTTGGTTCAAAAAGTCAGAGGTGGCCCATTTCTCCAGTGAATTTTCCTCCTGGGAAAGGTCTCCCTATGTCACTAAGGAGCTAACTCTGAAACCTAAGTGCAGGCAGGATATCAGAAACATTTTAACACTGAACTAACAGGAACACATGTATGCATCATGTATATGTGAACATACATTTATGTAATTCCCAACTAAGCCATTTTTATTCTAAAAATATGCTCAGCCCTTTGGAACCCTTCAGCGTATGGTCCAGAAACACAAGGTTTGTTCTTCCTTTTGCTTTCTTGCTTCTACTTGTTATGAATGATAAAATCCTGGCCATTTCCTTCCCGTGTTTCCATTCCATGTTTTCGTCTCCGCCCTATATCCCACTTTCGTCTTTTAGATTTCCATCTTCTCTCCCTGCACAGCCGCCACAGCCTCCTCACTGCTCCTCTTGCTTCTCGTCTTACTCCCTGTAAAGTTGTCTTAGACCCACCACCCAGCTGGATCTAAAACACAGTATTGACCATCACACCCCCAACCCAGAATCTCACAGAGATTTCTCCCCGCCAACAGAATAAAGCCCAAGCTCCATCGAGTGATGTCCCAGTTCTCCCATTATCTGGCCCTACCACCCACTCTCCAGTCTCATCTTTTGAAGCTCCTTATCAGGAACCTTATGGTTTCACAATATTGTGTGGCATATAACATAGTATTACTATGTGGTTTCCTGAACACTGCCCCACCTTTGCCCCTGCTGTTTCTTCTGCCTTCAGTAGGTGCCCTAACTCTTACTTCCTTTCATACCCAAGCCCAGGCCTGAGTCCTTTCCTGACCCCCCACCGAGGGCTTCAGCCTCTTCCCCATATCTGCAGACTCCCCTTGCCTTTTTTCATCTCAGCCTTCACATATCATTTTAAATTCTAGTCCCCAACTAGACTCAAACCTCTGGATGGGCAGGGATCATGCCTCAATTAATCTGTATACCTCAAGACCTTTTCTACTCTGGTCATTAAAGAGAAAATCTTTGTCAAAGTTAAGGAATCCTTCTCTTGGGTTATGTTAGTGAGTTAATCTAGTAAAGAAAGTGTATTTTAATTCATCAGTTCTTTAACTTTAAACTCACTCTGCCTGTAAAAGGAATGGTATGTGTTTTAAAGCCTCCTTTTCTATTATCCTGGAGGTGTGTTATAATGACTCTCGTCATATTAAGCACTCACCAAATTTGCTGGGTGTTTCTCTTTGCCAACATGGATGTATCTGTACATGGAATAGCCCATCACAGAAAAAATAAACACAGTAACAGATATGGGCAAAACATACCAGAAGATGATTTTAATGTTCAATACTGATGTTTGATCTGTAAAAAACAAATAGGTGGGTGGGGGAGATAATTGTGATTTGGTGCAGTGGAAAAACATTAACAATGGCAAGGAGCTTTGGGCAGATCACTTACATTTAGGAACAGATTCTCACTTTTATAAATTGAGAAGCTTGAACTAAAGGTTATAAAGGGTCTCAGAATTGTTCTCTGACAACAGATGGTTTTAAGGAATCATCTGGACTTGTCTTCAAACTTTACAGAAAGGATGCATTAACAACCCACGGGAGCAGGTGTTCCAGCATTTTATGACAGGCTGTCAGATTCATGACGGTTTTTATATTTGAAGGTAAGTGTGTCTGATATTCAGATACCTCACAGCAAACCAGACAACAAAGACTTCTTGTGCAGATCCCTCTAGGTCATTTCACTTTTCCATGCTACTTTGCCTTAATTTTTTTCCATATATTTAGGAATATGTGGAGAACAGAGATGCATGGTGTTACTTTCTATACTTACTAATAGAGCCATCCTCACATGAATTGCACAAACTTTCAGGGTAGGTCTGGAGCTTGAGAATATGTGTAGGGAAGGGACTGAGCTGGTGAGTGCTGAGAATGACAGTAACTCCCTGCCAGGTCCGGATGTGCTGTAGGTTCATGATAAATAGCAGTCATAGAGGAATGAAAAGACCCGGTGAATAGTTTTAAGAAAAGGGTCCCTGACTCACCATTGATCAGATTACACAGTTGATGAATAGGGCTTATTGTGGACTAACATATTTCTTAAATTCCTATGGGGTACTTGGAAGTTGTAATGGCTAATTTTACATGTCAGTTTGGCTATGCCATGGTACCCAGATATTTGGTCAAACATTATTCTAGAGTTTCTGGGAAGGCATGTTTTAGATGGGATTAGCATTTATATCAGTAGATTTGAATAAAGCAGATTACCTTCTATCATTTGGGTGTGCCTCATCCAATCAGTTGATGGCTTTTATACAAAAAAGGCTAACCTCCCCAAGGAAGTGAGACTTCTGCCAGCAGATTACCTTTAGATAACATCAACTCTTCCTTGGGTCCCCAGCATGTCAGCCTGCCCTGTGCATTTTGAATTTACTAGCCTGTACAATCATGTAAGCCAACTCCTTAAAATACATCTCTATCTCTACAGATATTCATATATATATTTATATGTATATATATACATAGATTCTGTTTTCTGGAGAACCCCGACTAATACAGCAGTAGAAAAGAGGAGCAGCTTTAGGACAAATGACAAAAGTTCTAGCACGTCCCTTATATACTAATAAAGTAAGCAAGAGTGCCATCAGAGTGTTCGGTCTACGCAGATATTGGATGCTCTTGATGCATAGGACTGAGAGAGAGCAGCAAAGTCACTATCTAATTAACGATCTAGTTAAAGACTAGAAATAGAAGTGTCATGGGTGGTGAGGGTGGTTAACAATAGCCAGTGGGAAAGTCCAGGTATGAGGGTCCAGCTACAGGCTCTTCTTGATGAAGAGCACATCTGTCAGCAGGTTCCCATAGAAAGGTGCTAAAGCCACAGTGCAGATATTGCAGATGGCTGAGCATCATTAGCCCCTCTTTTAGGTTACAACTTGGTCCTGTCCTCTTAGTACAGTCCTTGGTCTCCAGACTGAACTCATCCTAAATAAAAAGAGCCATGGTTACAATGACTAATGGCATTTAGTTTGCACAGTAAGCCTAACAAACTCTATGTGTGTTTCAGGAACTGGGGAATTATAGAAAGCAGAGATATTTTTCCAAGGATAGTCCCCAAAGATGTAATACTGATTTTTGAGAAAAGTAGCCCCTCATAGCAGTATATTGGAAAGGCGTCTGGGGCAGTAACAGCTGAGATATTCAGGAAAAGGTCAGCACCTGAAATGGTGCCTCCTTGTTTTGTTACCTTCCGTAGACTAGTGAGAAAGTTGGCTCCATCTGCTTGCTGGGAAGTATTTAATTTAATCTGTACTTTAGTTGCTTTTGCTTTGCCAACTGCTTCAGTGACTTCCACTGGAAATTCATTCCTAACATTTGGCCACTTGTCAGGCTGTTAGTAAACAAAGCACTTTTTCCAAATACAAAAATGATTTATTCAATCTGCTTTGTTCTGCCTTTTGCCTGCTTAGCTCTTTAGTTTTATTGGTAAACCCTTCATTTCAAAGGGAAAGGTATGATAAGGATAGAGTTTCAAAAACAGTACTTTTTACTTTTGATCCATACTCATACAATTCCCTTTTTATTCCCTGGGACAATTTCAACATAAAATGTGGATGGCATGTGGGAAAAAGAAACCAGGAGTTCTGTGACATTCTTATCTTAGGTCTACTGATCGGAAGACCTGGGGAAAGTTGTACCATTTGTCTGTCCTATGCTGGCACGTCTGGAAGAGAGAAACAGAAGAGTAATGGATGAAGAGCCATTGTAAACTTCAGGATTTATTTTCAATTTTCAGGTTTTAAGTTCAAGGTCCTCTCACCTTAGGGGAAGAAAGGTTGAACAAATGCCAAGCTCCTAAGTGTGGGCCTCCTAACAGGAATGGGAATGTTCAACCACAGGTCTTGGTAGCCCAGTTCAGAAAACATAAGACAGACAAATACAAGGAAGGAGAAGAAGCCACCATAAGAGCAAGGGTGCAATGACTGATTGACTGATGTGCTGCTCGCAGACCCTCGGCAGCCAGTGAATGGTATCTGGATGCAACTTGCAGAGCCTGTATTTAGTATTCCTGAGGGGGTGCAAAGAATTCTACCTTCAAGGATTTTTAGGGTAATGCTTTGTTCCAACAATACAATTTCCTGATGTTCATGAGAACCACAGAACTTCAATGGATCAGACTGATTATAATTTTAAAGAAGGAAAAAGGTGTGTGTGAAAATTCTTAATAGTTATTTCCCAAGGCAGCAGCTCGGCAGTGGATGCCAGGACCAGTGCTGAGAATTCCTCAAGGGGTTGAAAATATTCCCTAACATTGGCCAAGTTCAATGGCAGAGTCACAAGCTGCCTGATGGATTTCTGGTGCTGGCTGTTTCTGCCTTTGCCTCAACCTGTTTCTGGCAGACATGGATACACCACAACCTTGAATGCACTACCACACTTCCTTTTAGTTCTATCAGACTGCCTTCCTCAGACCTGTGGAGAGTTTTTTAAAGCTTACCTGTCAAAGTATGGACACATCGCGTCTCAGAAGGCTGAGCAAGGCGAGGAGGCCCTGGGACAAAGGACTCCACATGGACACAGTACAGAGTATCAGGCTCCAGCCAGCTGAGCACAAGCGTGTGGTTAGTCACACACTGAGACCACTAGGACAAGGAATTGCAAATAGCAGTTAGAGCCAAGGATTTCCAGTGCCATTACCGACAAATAATTCCAGAAGGAACTAGAAGACTGAGATAACATTACATCTGTTACTCTCACCACATGCTTTCTTTCCAACAAGAGCTTGAATACCCTTTTCCTTTAGCTCAGCAGAGCATGGTCAGGAACAGGAACAATTCTGGGAGCAATTCTAAATAATAACATAAGGATGGATTTCTTATTCAACCTTATCCTGTGTTTTTGCTAACATTTTTTTTTCTCTCTTGGAGAGTGACCGACAGATGTTTTGCAAGAAAAGCTCTCCATCAAAATGAGGTGGATAATTGCTCTATACTCCAGTAGCAACATCACACCCCATTAACAGAGAATTCTGCAAAGGAAATCTAAAGGATGTTCTTAAAATTTCTGCGTATCAGCTTCAGTGCCATCTTATATGGTATCTCTTTTGAATATCACATCTTCCCAGATGCACATGTAGATAATCTAAGTGTCAGGGCTGCTTGTTCCAGTATCATCAGTTGCAAAAAGTGACTCAAATTATATGCCCGCATTCCATTTCAGGCTTACCGTTTTATTTGATTTAGTGTTATATACAGACACATTATACTTCAAATTAGAGTAGATTTGTTGCATGGAAATAGAACTTTCTTCTGGATTTTCCTTCCACTTTTCTGGAGCCGTCAGAATGATAGAAATGGATTTCTCATCAGTAGTCAAAGCAACCTCTGGTGGGCCAATTTGTGCTTAAAAGGGAGGCGAGAGGGAATGATCATGTTCAGATGTAAAAATCACCTTGGATAAAACTACAACATAATCCCACTGGGATCAGAGCTCTAAAGCTCACCCTCTTATTTGAGATGCCTCAGAATGCTTTAAGGTGGGCCTGAGTTCTGCTAAATCTTGGGACAATCATTTCACACACCCTGACACAATGTTAAAACAGCAAATTCAAGGGTATTTACTTTATTTATTTCTAGTCATTTGGATAAACAACCCTGGATAGTAAATACAATTAAAAATGTTTACAGCATTCCTGTGACTTGAAAAGTTGGTGATAAATAATATTAATATGATTTGATACATGGTAACAAACAGAAATAGAGAAATGAAGCACTGCTAACAGCCTTTGGAGATGTGACTGCAATGACCCAGAACAGATGTTCACCAAGTTTTCCCATAAAGGTCCAGCCAGTAAGTATTTTAGGCTTTGCAGGTCATACGATCTCTGCTGCAACTATTATTTACATAAATGTAGAAATGCCTTCTTAGCAGTTCGCCTGTAGACAGTCAGAAAGGGGCAGTGTTGCATTTGGTCTGACGTATGGTCTACTGACTTTGGATCTAGAAGGGCACCAGGTGAAAGGCTCCCGCTCCAGGACTTCGGGGTGCTTGTAAATTTCATTATGGCACACTGAGTGGGTCTTCTATGGCTAAGTTAACCACAGATTGGGAATGGAAAAACTAAAAAAAGGAAATGCCAGGAAGATGTTGCCTTGAGTCTGAGTTATACCATGAAATTATGTCATTACATTACCAAGTTTATAACAAGAGGACACTTAGTTTGGTGGTCAGAACAATCTTTAATCAATCCTGTGGACATGTATCAGTGGTTTATAAGCCCACAACATTTAAGAATATCTGTCAGTTGTTCCACTAAATAATAAAACAAAATCAAAATTGGATAATATTAGCATCAAGTGTCAATTTTGGATCTGGGAGAGATCTCAGAGATCAGTTGGCCAAACCTTTCATTATAAAGATGAGGCTCTGAGATCCAGCAAGATGAATCTCCCTGGGCTGGTCACTCCCCCAGCTGATGGGCAGTGTGCAAAGGAGGGTCAAGCAGAGCCCTGGCTTCTCAGGCAAGGCTGTCTGTGAGTCTGTGAGGCTGAGACTTTTACACCAGGAGCGCAGGTGAATTTGATATTAAAAATTGTTTAAAAGACAACTGTGTTACTTACTTTCTAAGAACGGAAAGAATCGCCCAGTTTCTGCCCATTTGGAACACTTTGTTTTCCAAATGGCCCTAACTTTGGCATAATACTGATGTTCGTAGTCAGAAGTTTCAGCAGAGAGATCGCAGTAGGTTCTATTGATATTTCTGCATTCGGATTTATTCAGCCATTTCTTTTGCCCATATCTGCTGAGAAAGAAACTGTGAATTAATAATGAGGTGCCCTCTCTGCTGTACAATAGGAAAAAAACAGTCATTATATAATGAATGGAACTTAAGACCTTCTCTTTAGAACAACAGAAGCGCCTGTCATTGAGATAAAAAAGAATCCACTTTTGCTGCTGGCAATTTTTTTCATTAGCTGTCAGGAACATGAGTCAGAGTTTCTGTAATCACCTTTCTTTTCCGTGAATTATGATGTGGATAGTACATTTTAAAAGCATATATTTTATAATTATTCTTGGGATACAGGAAAATTTTTACATATTGTGTGATCAATTTTTCTTGCAATTATCTATGTAAAGTTTTGGTCCACTATGCATCTCAAGGTCAGTTTGATGGGTTGTTATAAGAAAAAATTAATCATTTTTTTTTCTTGGAAGAAAAATTACCTTGACATTCACATAAAATTTTAAAAATCTGCTAAGGTTCTGGGGAAAATTTGTGAGGTTGGAGTGCATACCAAAAATCTACATTTTCAATAAATATAGTGATGATGATTATATTAAGTTGTTCATACCTGTTTTTCCTTTTCTTTATTAAAAACACAACACCCATTGCAAATAGAGAGGGGTGAATATTTTAAGTACTTTTCAGGTGAGAGAGACTTGAGGTACAGAGTTTAAGTGACATGGGATTAGCCAGTGAAAGAGACAGGATTGCATGAGGGGTAAATGAAAGGATTAAAGCAGGCATTTTGGGGTTTTAGAAAAACTAACCGTGGTGATAGCACAGAGAATATAATGGGTTAGGAGAGGTAGCCTGCAGAGCAGTTGAGAGAGTATTGCTGTGGTCCAGGTGGAATATGTAGGTGGCTTGGACAAGGATGGTGGCAGAGGAAATTATGATAGGACAAAGGAGGAAATATCAGGAGCCATGACCTGGAGATTGAGTGAATGTAAGAGATGAGGGACATGAAGTTGTTGAGGATGAGGTCTCCTTCTGTCTGAGATGGATGGAATAGTGGCAACATCTACCAAGATAAGGCGCAGAAAAGAAATGCCGAGTGCGGAGTGGGAGGTGGGAGAAAGGAAAGATAATGAGTTCAATTTTTGACATGGTGAACTTCAGGTAGTAAAAGATTACCCAGGGCAGATGCCCAGGAGGCACTGGGGCTCAGGAGGGAGGTGTGAGTGGGAGGCAGTGACTGTGAAAGCACAGGCATAAAACTACTCATTGAAGACATAGGTGTGAATGAAATTACTCATGAAGACAAAGCAACATCCAGGATAAAATTTCAGGAGTATCAAGATTTAAAGGTTAGATACAAAATACACTTAGAAGAAGCAGCTAAAGAGGGTGAAGGAAAAACAGACATAAAAAAATTCAAGGGAATTGCATGTTCTGAGAAGGAAGAAATGTCACTTAGGTGTGGCCGAAGCTTAAGGGTTTCTTCTCTTTTCAGAATATGGCAACAGAGCCCTGCAAACAAATGTCTCCTGTTTCATAAGCACCAAACCTGCCAGAAGACATTAAAAATATACTTAGATCTTGTTGACCAACTTCTCCATCAAGGTATCACTGCTCCCTACGGGCTTTCAAACTTTTTTGACTGTGAGCCACAGAGAGAAATACCTTTTACATTATGACACAGCTCACAAAAACATAGAGATCTAACGCACTAAAACAAAGGTTTTATAAGGTAATACCTAACCTTTACTTTTTTCATGACCCACCAACAGGTTCTTGACTTGTTGTTTGAAAAATATTACCATTGCCTATTTGATCCCCCTTCTTCAAACCTCCTTAGTTTGCCAAAGAGAGGGCGGCTTCCCATGGCAGATGCTGATGAAGGAGACAATGCCCTTGACTGGCTTCTGGATAAAATGCTTTGTAAAGTCTGACAAGCTGATAGACATGAGCCATTCAATCAATACTCCAGTAATGGTGTTTGTGCCCAACAGCAAGCACATACAGCCCTTCAGTGGTCTGTTTTCTGGTAACAGCAGGAAACATCAAGTGCCCACTATGTGCTGGGACCAGTGCTTATGGTCTGCACGCTTTATCTCATTTAATTATCATAATAATGGTAAGAGGTAAGTACCATTATTTTCATCACATTTTACCGATGAGAAAACTGACTTTCATTGAGATGAAGGGAGCTGTTTAAGTTCATATGACTGGTTAACAGGTGTATCTGGGATTTGAACCACCTTTCCCTGATGCCAAAGTTTGTGCTTTTAGTGTTACACTCTATTTTCTGCATTAAATTCTTTTAGCAGATATAATTTAAATTTTTGTTAAAATTTCATATTTTGCTTGGAAACAAACTTCACTCAAAAGTATAAAAGTATAATATGTAATTTGCCCAAGGTTACCCAGCTAGGTTCACAGACTAGAGATGAACCCGGGACTGTTTGACTTGGGGGCTGGGCTTGGAGTCCTCTGTCAGTGGAATCTACTGCCCTGTACCACTGTCCACATTTCACATGCATAGGCATGTAAAAAACAACATGGTAAGTTTCTTTTTAAATATTCTCTTTTGAGAGTTGTGTAATCTAAATTATCTGCTCTCACAAAGCAGTGATGACTCTCTCTTTCTTTTTTAAAAATCCTTTCCTGAATCATATAAACATGCAAGGGACAGAGCAAGCTCTTTGCTCCACCTAATGGAAGAGAAGGCAAGGGCATAGTCATGAGCCATTTCTCTTTGCGCAGTGATATCTTCTTTCCTAAAACACCTGCTCCTGAGAAACTCCTTGGAAATGAGAATGAGGTTCTAGATAAAATGAGGCCATTGTGAATAGCAGCTGAAGTCTCTCACTGCCTTTAGTGGCCAAAATTCTTTTTTCAAAGACAAAAATGACTTTATACTTTTTTGTAAAAATGGTACATTTAAAAAAACCTCAAACAATGAAAAAAACAGCATAATCAAGAGAGAAATCAAACACCCTGAAACACATTATTCTGAAGCATTTGGAATACATGATTCTAGTCATCTTGTTAAGTTACTTATACACAGAAGAATGGTTAGATGACTGGATATTAGAAAAAACTAGATTATAGCATACATATTGTTTTAATAAAAGTAGTACATTTAACATGATTTGAACTTTAACAGAAAATTAAACTGAAGTGGAATTAAAGGAAATTGCTGTAGTTCAAATATTTCATCACCACAAAAAGCATTAGTTCCTTAAAGTTCTTTTAAATTAAGAGTGGTTTATGAAAATAGAGTTTAGTTATTAAAATGGTGAAATATTTTCATTTAGATCACATTTAATGGTTTCCTCCTATGAAAGTCAGTACACTTATAATTTTACCTCACTTTCGGATTTGTTATATTATTGTTTAGGTTCACACATTTATATGAAAGTCCGGTGATGAAATTTCCCATCACTCTTTAGTCGTGGTTCTGTATTTAGATGGTTTCATTGCATGTTACCAGTCTTTTTGCCATAATCTTGTCATTACTAAGTTCTTCATTCAGGTTCATCTTTCTCTCTCTGTCAGCTGGATATCATCTTTAGTGAATGATTTTCCTACCCTGAAGGTCTCAGGTGAGTGATGTCACGAGTTCCCACCTGCTTAAAATACATGTTGAACTTAATAGGAGTCTTAGGTCACACCCGTTTTTCCCTTGGAAGATATATCATGTCTCCTGTTGTGTGTTACCAGACAGAAATTACCCTACCCATACTCACCCGCCCCACTTGAGTCCTGCTTTTGCTATGATGGTCATAAATCACTTCATTTTCTTAAAGTTCAGTAACTTCACCAGGATATGTCTTCCTATTGCTTTTATTACATTTTTCTTGACATGTCATATATTTATGACATGCAATTCCAGATATTATTACCTTCTCAATTATTGCTATCAGTTGGTGATAATAGGTTCTTTATCTCTGTATAACATTTAAATTTTCTTCTTCCTAAGCTCTGACCACTTAAAAAAAAAAGAGTTCTCCCTTTTACCTTAGAATCTCTTCTTTGTTACCTCTGCTCTGAGCTTTACCATTAGAGATCATATTTTTTTAGACTTGAACCATGGACAATTACTTGTCTGAATTTTTCCCCTATTTCTATGAGAAGGCTTTTGGGGAACTTTTAACTTGTGATTTTTTGTTTGTTTGTTTGTTTGTTTTACCCTTCCAGTAATTATGGAGAGGTGCTGTGCTGGATTCGTGAAGATTATGACTCTTTGAATGGGGCTGGCTGTTTATTGAGTATTAGGCAAATGGGTAGGAGTGGGGGTCAGTCACATGCCTGTTCATGGAATCATATCACTCTCTTTGCCAGGGAGCCTATCCACCCTCAGGTTTTGGACTGTAGGAGACTGCTGTGGCTCCTGGCACACCCTAAAGGTCACAGCCTCCTGGGGCTGTGTCACAGCCATGTTTACCTCCATCATTCCTCTGACACCCATCTCACTCCAGGGTTCTCCCTGCGTTGTGGGTGGGTCTCTACAATGGATAAGCCACTTGAACCTGATTTCTCTTTCAGCTCCTCTTTCTCTGACATTCTGTGGCACCAAACTGGGGCTCTATGGGGACATTTCCTCAATTTCTGGTGGCAGAAATCCTTAGATGTCACATCGTTAGATTGTTAGGCAAACCTTTCAGTACTGTGACCATTTATTCTTTGGAAAATATCTTCTACTGTTGGCACTCAAGAAGATACAGGTTTCCTTTCAGCATCTGTGGTTGTTTTCCTTCAGAGTTCATAGTATCTGACTTGTAAGCTCAGAGTCTGTGCCTTGGGCTTGTGGCCATTTCCTTCATTTCTTTGAAGATGGCCATGTCTGTCTGTTTGGCATTCCTTCTTGCTTACAATGACTTTTGAGGGAGACTTGAAAAGGGAAAATGTCCATTTACAACTATCTTTCATAGGAACAGCTAATTGGAAAAAACCTGCACTCAATTTCACTTTCACTTAAAAATGTCTATAATCCCAATAAGTTTAGACGATTCAGAGATGATGGATTTACTTGCTTGCTCAGCCTCAGAATAATATTTTGACCAACTTCTTTTCTCCATTGTAATAACTTCCTGTTGCCCAAGTACCCAATGCCTCTGGCTCTGTGAAGAAACTTTCCTGATTTGGTCTAACAACATAGCAAGAAAATTTAACATGAAATATATAAAGCTTTTCTTGTTTTAAAATGCTTATTTAATCATGGGACTCTGAGTCTTGTGTTCCTAAGAGAGCCAAAAGGAACAGAACCAACTCACATGAAATACTGCACAGTGTACGTGGCTTCAACTCCTTGCAGGCCCTCTGGTGGACTCCACTGTAGGATATTCTTCATGTTTATGGATAAGAAGGTGACATTTGTAGGCTTAGGCAAACTACCCGAGACACAGGGAACTGAAAAAGGAGTAAAGTAGAATCAAGGTCTTAGTGGAGAAAAAGGAAAACATCGCTGTGGTAGCTCGTCTCCAGATACGGCCCCTGAGGAGCCATGTTCCAGGGCTCATACCCTGTGTATTTCTTCCCAAACTGAACGTGAGCTGACCCTGTGACTCACTTAAACAGAATGTAGCAGAAGCAACTCTGGGAGTGAGCCTTAAGAAGGCCTGGGGGCCTCCATTTTTACCCTTTTGAAAGCCCTGAGCTGTCATGTAAGAAGTTGGACTACTCTGATAAGAAAAAGAGTGAAATATTGCCATTTGTGACAACATGGATGGACCTAGAGGGTATTGCGCTACATGAAATAAGTCAGAGAAAGACAAATACCATGTGATTTCACTTACCTGCGGAATCAAAAAAATAAAACGAACAAACAAAACAGAAATAGACTCAGAAATATAGAGAACAAACTGGTGGTTGCCATAGGGTAGGTGGGTGGGGTGATGGGCAAACCAGGTGAAGGGATAAAGAGGTACAAACCTCCAATTATTAAATAAGTAAGTGATGCAGATGAAAAGCACAACATGGGGGATACAGTGTATAATATTGTAATATCTTTGTATGGTGATAGATGATAACTACACTTACGGCAAACATTTCATAATGCATATAAATGCCCAACCACTACGCTGTACACCTGAAACCAATATAATATTGTATATTATGCTTTAGCTAGATAAAATGTTGGGCTATTCTGCTGGAGAAACTATTTTGAGAGATTCAGTTGCCCCAGTATCCCAGCTGAGTAGAGATTCCCAACCAAGGAGCCAGGATGAAGCCACTGTGTAACACCGAAGTCATTGACTGAAGCTGCACGAGAGACTCCAAATAAGAAAAGCAGATGAACCACCTAGTTGAGCCCCAGTGAAACCTCAGAATTGTGGGAAATAAGAAAATGGTTGCTTTAAACCATGAAATCTTGGGGTAGTTTGTTATGTACCTGCAGATAACTGAAACAATCTATATCTAAATTATTAGATGCCTCTGAAAAGTCAGAGTTTTGGAAGTTGGAGTTGGGGCTAGCTTTACTAAAGTACATAATAAAGCAATGATTAGAAAAGGAATCAGTGAAAGAAGACAGTTTATTCAATTAAACATGGATAAATTCATATAACTGTACTCGAAGAAAAAGTGTATCCTAGAGGATTGATTTGTAGAAATCTTGTGGAGAGATTTTGATAAAGAATTGAGAAACTATGAAAAAATTAGAAAAGGACAAAAGGAAAGTGAAGGATAGTTTCTTATAAAAGAAAACAAGGATGATCCTTGAATTAAAATAAATGAAAAAATCCAGTGGTAAAACATAAGAATCAGAATACTAAACTATTGGAGAGATCACAAAGTACTGAGTAATAAGCAATCATATTTTATGAAGATCTTGTATCATAAATATGCATATTCTAGTCAGTGAACCTGGAAAAACACCAAATTTTTATAATGCAAATCAAACTTAGGAAATAAAATTTAACTCAGGCACTGAATGCTGGTCCGATCTTGACTAAGTCCCATAATTCTTTTATAAATTAGCCAGGACTAATGTCAGAGAAAGGAATTAGCTTTATCCTTGGAATAATCCTTGGCTAAAATTAGCTTTATACAATGTATTGTAATTCTCAAGTCAAATGAAAAGAAAGAAAAAAATTCTCTACTTTAGGGTTAAATTTTGTAATATGACCCTGATTCTAAGCCAAAATAAGCTCTTTAACATGTGACACAGAAACCAAAATACAGGCAGTTGAGTGTGTTTTTGTGTGTGCATATGTTATTTGTAATGACTCCTATCTTTAACCTTCATCATTTTTTTAAGTATTTCAGTTTATTTTTAAGAAGAAAGTTAAGTATTCAAAGAGTAGGACTATCAGCTGATCACTGTGTGGTTATGTGTGTGGCAAGAGTAGAAAGGATCTCAAAATGATACAGCCTGCCCAAGTCTGTCTTTGATTTCTATTTTTCTAGCTCTTTGAAACTATTGTGTATCAACTGGTATTAGCTTTTTCTGGAGATCACATAAAGCGAATAATTATCAATGATTTAATACTGCTCTGTGTTATCACTAGGTGGTAAATTTGAGTACATTAAGTTAATTTCAGATGCAACAGAGAATATGGGGAGACAGTGCCATGAAATATAGTTATTTCCCAACCCTTCAAAGTGAGGAACAGTTTTAACATAAAAAAATTCCAAGGATCTTTGCAGATGTAAAATGCTGTGGGGTTTATATGTTTAGATAACACTAACATGTGCAGAGTGGTTACAATCTTGTAAAAATTTAAATTAAAATAGACTGTGCATTATAATATCAAGACGGAAGACATTGCCAAAACAAGGTTCTACAGAACTAACTGAGAGGGAACTAGAATATTCTGCTTTGTGGCAACTTCAGTTTGGAGATATAAAACACAAGTTATCTTGGATATTATAGGTCAGGAATATTTTCTCAGTGTTTAACCTACACAAATGTTTATCTTCTACAACATCAGTTTCTTTTCATCTTTAATATAAGTAAACAATTGACTGAACTCTCAAGATGCCTAAAATATCACAAAAAATTTTAACAACTTGAAAAAAAAGGATTATTCATTTTAAAATTAGTTTTGTTGGGCACTGCCATGAGGAAACAAAGTAATTTTGTTCTTCTGAAATGAACTATATTCTGGAATGTGCTGTCAATCATTAATGTTCATTAATTCAACAGACATTTTGATTAATGTGTAATTGTTTAATATACTCTAGAAATGCTGTATCGATTATCAAAATGTTACCAAATTCTGGTAATAATAGGTTAAAAAGGGGGAATTAATAATATGACTATAACAATAAAACATTAAACAATTTTTTTCATCATGACATTCTGTTTTTTGTAAAGGGCATATATTTCATTATAAATGTTGTAAAATGTGTATGTAATTCCCTCCTCCTGGCATTTACAGCCTGTATAGCCCCCTCCCATACTGTATCTGGGTTGGTCTGTGTGACTAATAGAATATGACAGAAGTGATAATACATAATTTTTAAGATTATATTATAAAAGACACTGTGACTTATATCTTGCTTTTCCTCTCTTGGATCTTGTTATGTATGGCCTGCTAGTTTCTGAACCATTCTTTCTTTTTTTATCAAAGCATATAGTCCTCTTTCTTGACAACTTGTCTTTCTGCTTGTAAAAATCTTATTTCCAGAAATGAATATTTATCAATTGTTGCAAGTTGTGAACAATGTATTTATTTGTATCAGTTATAATTTTTGTTAATTGTGGAATTTTAATGATTATCTTTGGTCAGTGCAGATAGATGGTTCTTACTAAGGGTGAGATTTGACCCTTCTGCAAAGATTTATAAGGACTGTTTGTTCCCTTGGGTTAGTTCTAATTTCAGCAGGACACAAGAGGTCTTTAGGTATCATTAAAAATAATCTTGAGTGGGATCCATTTATAACAGAATGAGAGATTCAATAGTAGACACAGTATGTGAATAAAACTCAATTTGCATAAGGCTTAAAATCATGAATAAAACTCAATTTGCATAAGACTTAAAATCATGACAAATATTGTGAAAATCTTTACATGTTATAGTATTTTGTTGAGGTTAGGCAATTGGCTAGCATATAACAAAAATAGTAGCCATCATTTAGTGAATCTTTACTATGCAGCTGACATTATTCTATATGCTTTATATAAATTATTCAATCCTCACAGAGCTCAGTGGAAGGTACTTTTATATCATCTCCACTATATAGATGAGGAAACTGAGGCACAGGTAAGTTAGGTAAGTTGCACAAGTCCACACAGTGAGTAAGTGGAAGACTAGGTTTGGAACCCATCCTCTTAACCTTCTCACTCATTTGCTACCCTTGCAGACTATTCATTAGTTGAATTTAAACAAAGATAAGGCAAGACTGATATTAATATATATTAATAAATAAAATAATTTAAGTTAAAAAATTAGATACTCATCTGGTCATTACATTGTTTTGGATCCCACCACATCTTGTAGTAGAAAGCCCATTCCTTTTTCTTCCAGAATAGTTTGATTTTGCCCATATTTGACCCTAGAGAATGCAAGTAGGAACTCTATTCCTACTTTAACACATTCCCCAGGTAACATGGTAACTAGGAAGGTAGGTAGCTAGTCCTACAAGAGTGTGTTTGGGTCTATTCTGGTATCTGTTTAGTTGCTGAGTACAGGCCCTCTACTAATTTGAAAGTAAGTAAAACAATAGAGATAAATACTTTGCCTTGGCCTTGGTTTTTTAGCTCTTTGTCTCCTATACAGAATACACTGCAATCAGTCCCAACTGTATAAATGAGAAATACCAGTTCAAGAGTCATTTTATTTATCCATTCAACTAAAGATACTGAAATCCTAACCCCCAGTACTACAGAATGTTTCCTTATTTGGAAAGAGGGTTGTTGCGTATACAATTAGTTTGGATGAGGTCCTACTGAGTGGAGAGGGCTCCTAATCCCATATGACTGGTGTCTTCATAAGGACACAGTTACGTGAAGACAGTGACACAGAGAGAATGCCATCTGAAGGTAGAATTGGAGGCATCTACAAGCCAAGGAATGCCTGGGACTCCCAGAAGCTGGAAGAAGCAAGGAAGGAGCCTCCTCTAGAGCCTTCAGAAGGAGCGTGGCCCTGCCAACACCTTGATTTCACGCTTCCAGCCTCCAGAACCATGAGAAAATCACAGTGGTGCTTTGTTACAGCAGTCCCAGGACAGAAATATAGGTGCTACCATGTGGATACTAATGGTGGATAAACAGATACACTCCTGCCCTTATGGAGGCTAGTGGGAAGAGAGACACCATAGACAAGTAAAAAAATAAACAAATTCATACTTAAAAATTTGATGATCAGGCTATGAAAGGGAACAAGGCTGGAACAGTGTGGGTCACAGAACTTACTTAGATAGGGTCCTGGGAGTCAGCTGTGGGGCAGGGAGGCCAGGGTTCCGGG